AGCGTGAGTGCACGAAGAAGTGAAGAGAAAAATACGTATGAGACGGGAGTTTAGCCGATAGTATTGGTAGCTTCGATTCTTTATCTTCGTCGCTTTTTTGAATGTAAGATAATACCTACTGAGAGCTAATTTGGTGGCTAATAAAGCATACGTGCTGTATATATGCTACGGAACAGTATGTTCAGTATCGCTACTCCATAAAACGGCTATCTCTAAGAGACGTTCTCGAAAAGGATTCAGAAAAGGAAGTATAACTTTGTCATCGGGATAAATGAAAACCGTTTGATCATAATAGTTGTACAAGCATCTTAGTTATCTTCAAGAAACAAGATTACGCCGCAAGATGATCCCACACCTCGAAACACGTGGCGCTTTCTCTTAAGGTCCTTAGCGTCCGTCGTAAACATTAATATCGACACAAATCGTCAAAGCTACTTGATTTTTTTGATCAAACCGCACGACTATATCGGTGAAGCCCTTAAGCATTTCGTTAAAGTATACCGCTTAAGTGTTGAAGAAATTCGTTTAAGCACCTAGCAGTACGCTCTGTGCCGTTTTTCATTTGTCACGTGTGGTTCGCCCAATTCTGCTTGAAGTCCTATTTCTCTAGTCATCATTTCTAGAATGACTAGTTGTAATGAGCTACACTTAGTCATTACATGAAGGTACATATATGTATGCATTGTGGAGATTTATAAAAGAAGATTACAGTATAGTAATTTCAAATGCATACATGATTTTTTGAATGAAGTTACAAATATTCTGTGTGATACAAAATGCTGGTTTCTACTTCGTAGACTATACTGGTGGCGAGATCGACGTGACTCTGTCTTTAGAAGTGGGTGGTGTAAGCCAGTCAGTTCTACTGGATATGTTCCGCGAAAGTTAAGGTTGAAGTTTTCGAAGTTCAAGCTCCGTACACCCAAGATCTTGTATCAGTTGACATTGAGGTTGAATCTCAGTACATTCCTGATTTATAAATCAGGCACCCAAGAATTTATCAGTAAAACTTCTAGGAGCCTCTGGGGTGTTTTGCATGTAGCCAGGAACCAGAGAATTTTTTACAGTCTTAGATTTACCTTTAAGAGATTATATCATTCTTCTTCTCTCCAAGCCAAGACCGTCCTTCACCCTCCACGTCGGAAACCGCTTCTTTGTCCCACAAGCGTATATGTTGTGCTTGAGGGACTGTTTGTGATCAGCGCTCTCTTACACCTGGTAGCAATTTAGGCGGTCTTTTCAACGACACTCGATTTTGGTTTGACGACGCGGCTGTTGAGTACGTCACGCATTCCAGTCCAAGCCATACAATTGTCCTTGTCTGAGTGACATAGAAGGAGTTGGGTACCACTCTGTCCATCAGTACCGCAAACTGAGGTGTTGATGAATGAGATGTTTCCTCATTTGTCTTCACATGAGTGGTTGGCATTCAAGCGGATGCGAGAAGTCTGCTGTAGTTCTCAAATAACTGCAGTCGTCTTCTCCGGATGATTACCTGTAGTTCTCAAATAACTGCAGTCGTCTTCTCCGGATGATTAGAAGGAGGCGGCTGTCAGTTTCATGTATTATGAGATTAATGATTCTCGGAGGTAGGTCGCAAGCCCTGTGTCTTCGTACAGGAGGATGCCAAAGCAAACTGAACGTGTCTTTGCACCACGGTGAGGAGAACGAGCCTCTCTTACGATGGCTTGTCGAATTGGATACAACAATCACTACAAGACAACTACGAGACCCCTTGTAGCAAGTGTTGTCCGCGACGCCCATCCTTGTGGGCCGTGCAAAGAGCTGGGCGTATAGGAAGCGTTTAGCCAATCTAAACTGCTTTCACAGTTACGAACACTTCGACGTCGAGCTAAAGAAGGCGTTTGAGCCACCACAGAGTGCCCGTGCCGAGTTCTTGAAGCTTAGTCAAAGTCGTTAGCTGAGATCCACGGGCACAGACCCGCTCGACGAGCTGTTGGAGTGTGCATTCCAGCGAAGTCGTGCCGACTTGAAATTGATTTCGGCACGCAATGCCACATTGACCGTCTCTTCAAATGAAGATAAATGCACATGGTAAACTTCCATTCTGGACACTCCAGTGTGGATGCCTTCCATTAAGACGGTCACTATGACCGCCTCCGGAAGGGAATCTGCTGCCATCCCGGCAATGAGAGTGCGCATCTCTTGGACAAACTTCACCAAACCCTTGTTGCCCTGTCGGACGGCAAACAATCGCACGCCATATGTCTGATTAGGCGGCGAGATCACTCGTGAGAGCTGCAATTTCAGCTCCACCCAGTAGGGAATTGCAGCTTCGACCGAAGTGCCGTACGTCAGTGCCCATTCTCGCGCTCGACCCCGAGCTTTGAGATAGCTAGCGCCACGCGCTGTTGCTCAGTCTGGAGCATGGCGGATGCGATGGACATCTCAATTCTCTCAT